GATTCTATAAAGCAGTAGCATAATTGTAAGGACCTTATTTATTCAGTTTCATTGTTTAAGCTGATTATACACTTTTCAGTTGAAATTAGAGCAATTATTCTATATTGCGTTAGTTGAAAATCTGAGGGATACCTTAGCAAATCTTTATGAACTCATAAAAATTTATGCGGTATTATAGCATAGCAGCTTAATTTGCAATTATATTGCATTAACTTCAATAATATAAAATTGTGTTTGAGCTCAGAAAGGATACAAAGCAAATCTAATTAACATTTTAACAACGCACACTTTAGCACAAAATCATAAGAAATTAAGTCCCTTTGAGCCAAAAAATGGGGTTGCAATAACATTTATAATTTCCAAAAGATCTTATATTGACACAAAGGACTGTTGCTTTTGTATATCACAAAATACCTTCACTTCTGTTCACTTTAAAGTGCGAACGTGTTTAGCTCAATATATAATTTTATAGTTTCGTCAGTGCAAGGGAAGAAACATCTTGCACGTCTTCTCAGAAAATCAAAACAAGTAGGTTTGCAAGGATTCTCTATACTTTTAATTTTCTTCGTATTCATTTCGCCTTGACTTGTTTTCTTTTTTTGTTTTTTTTTTTATTTTTTTATTTTTTGTGCAGTAATTTTATTAACTTAATTGAATTTTCTTCGCTTTCAAAGCAAATAATCTAAAGCAGTTTATTTTGTTAGTGTTCAAGCTTCACTTGACTCACCATAGCCTTCCACAGCTTTTCATAGCCTTTGCTCAATGTACTCGTAGATTAGTATCCTCACAGCCTAGCTGCTTTGTTTACGTGCTGTCCTTAACCAATTTAGACATTTGCAACAAAATGGAAAGGTTAACATATAAAATTCGGGTATCCTTTACAAAACGTGCCAACTCAACTCATTTTGCGAATTTCATCAAATGCCAAAACAGATTGGCTGCATAATCAATTTTCGTCGCTTGTGACATTAAAGGAAATTGCCAGAAATTATCAGTTATCGAGACTTGGCCACTTAAGCTTGAAATGAGATTTACCTGGTCAAGCATTTCATGCAAATAACTTAATTAAACAAAACCATTCAAGGCCATTAAACATTTTTTGTTATTAAAAGTTTATCGATTTCAAGCTTAATTACCCTTTCCATATCATCTTTCATTATAACGAATAATTTTTAATATTTCTAAATGTATTTAATAGCAAAGAAAGTATAAACGATTAAGTCAATATTAAAAGTTTAATAAATAACGAAGAGTAGACAAATTGTATCCATTCTACTTGTTCTTCTTCTTTTAATGTACGCTGATATCTGTTTTATTAAGAAATATAGAAATTGTAAAATATATCTAAGGACTTATTGGCGAAGTTATATTAAAAACCAAAATAGAGTTAAGTAAAGTTTTCTGTTAAGGTACATATCTAGCCTTTCATTATCGTTTTGTAGATATCTGAAACAGATATCCTGCTAGATACCTAACAATTCTATTTAAAACTGATGATTTAATAGATTAATTACCAAGCTTGAGGTAACCTTTAAGACCGTTAATCACTGTAACTACAGGTCAAATAGATCTTTCTGTACATTGTAAGATTATATTGGGGATTCAGACGGAAAAATCTAACCATTTCAATGGATTGGGTCTAAAGGCCAATTGGACAGAAGATTGTGTGTGCAGTGGGGTAAAAGAACAGATAGGCAACGTCATTGGAAAGGCTGCAAAACTGCAAATGACACTGTTCTACACCTTAATATTTAATTATTTTAATCACTCAAACTTGTTAAAACTTGCATCACTCAAACTTGTTAATTTTATAAGTATTTTGACTCTCATCTAAAATATCCACTCATCTTTTTTATTTATGACTTTCAATTGAACTTTCAATTAATTGGTTTTTTGATCGCAATGAAAGGTCACCAGATAGCCATCCACTTTCTATGATGAGCAATTTTTTGCCGTTTTATAGATAGCTGACTCGCAAGAAGCCTTCAGAGATAAAAATAAATCTATCTCTTTAAATTCACGTTATTTAGCAGATTTTTTCATCTTTATCGATGAACTTTAAAACAAGTTTACCCTAAGGCGATGTTTTTTCTAAACGTTTTTTTTTCTGCAATTTTCTACAATATCTACATTCAGTATTTTTAGAAATGCTCACTATTTTCGTGTGGGTTCATATAAATCAGTGATATTTTGTTATTATATTATATTACATTTTATACTATATTATGTTATGTTAATATTATGTTGAAGCTGTTTTGAGCTAGTGCACTTAAGCACTTATACTATTTTTTAACACGAGGTGTTTTCAAAACCCCTTTATCACTTCATCAGAGTAAGCAATAATTGATCACAGATCTGCATACCTCTCCGAGGAGCCTGTAACCATTTTGTTATGTTATATATCGCATATATAATATGTATGTATGTATTTATATATTTTATTATGACTTTTTTCACTTTCGCCTATACTTTGATATGAACTCTATATCAATTATTATATATTATTTAAATAAAAGTATTTATAAGCCAAAAAAAAAATAACATAAAAGTTATCATGCCGCTTCTAAAACAAATTTCATTCTCTTAACAAATAATTTAAATCTCTCACAAATATCAATATTAGTATTTCAGAAAACGAAAACATGTCCTAGTAAACTATAACTGTCCAAGATAAATCACAGTCAACTGATGTAGGTAATTAATCACTGACATTATTTCCCCCCTCAGTGAAAAAGTCACTCATACGCACTGTTGTTCTCAAGTTGCATCAAATTGACTTTTACAAATAAAACTTTTATACATTTATTGAAACTAATATTCATAAATATTTATTAATCAAAATATGTAACATTGAAGTATAAATCCATGAATTACGCTTTCGTCACACTTCCTCTTCATCACATTTTCATTGTGGCTGTGGCTAATAAAGGAGTGTTGGATTGGGTAAATGAGGACAAAACTGCTTTAAAGCACAGTTTACTGTGAATATCAAAGGATTTTAAAATAAATTTCAATTAAGTAAATTAAAGCAATGAATAAACCAACCGCACCCAAGTTGAATGATTCCACATTCATTTTAATTGTCACTTTACGCTGAACGTAAGCATTAACAACAGCCACAACAACAGCTAAAAAATACCACGACAAAAAAAGCAATGAAAATGAAAGGAAATAAAATAAAATAATATGAAATAAAATGAAAATAGCAAAAGCAGCAACAGTTTGTGATTTGCAACAACAACCATTGGCACGGCCAGCCGCTTTGTTAGTACAAATAAAATGTAAATTTGTATTATACAAGCAAATATTGACTTATTTTGAAAACAACTTCATTTATATAAAAGTATTTATATACTTAAGCCATATATATATATACATGTATTTATATACATAAATGCACATTATATTTATAGCAATTTTATAAATTAACACACCCTGCCTTCTAATAGTAGTATATCCTGTCTTGCCTTATCCTTGGCCAACTTGTTGCTCTTTGTTCTCATTTTCTTGATCCGCTTTTTATGCTTCTTAATTTCTTTTTCGTTGCCTTACAATTAGACAAAGTCAACACCCACACATTTCTATATATATTCACCGATATTGTGCATTACTTTGTTTACAGTGTAAACAAGCACATTACCAACAGTGCCATTACCATAAGCATTTGTAGCGCTGTTAGCTTCGTTCTTGTTGATGGCCAGTGGTACTAGCATTGGCACTAGGACTGGCACTAGCACTTGCTCGCAGTTGGCTAATGGCATTTTA